CACACACACACACACACACACACACACACACCAAGACCAACTTCCTAGGGGAAACACTGAACATCCAGTTATACTTTGTTAAGAGACAAAGTTCTTATAATCTTAAAGGACTTGAGATGTTTGTGAAACCCAGAATTCGAACAAACTTGAAGGACCGGTGTTCTTCAGTTCAGGGAATAAGATTATGGAATAATCTGGAAAGTGATTATAAAAATGCCAGTTCAATGTGTTTGTTTAAGAGAAAGATAAAAATAAATTTGTTAAAGAAATATGAAACTGTATAATGTATATCTAAGTTGTTGTTTGAGAATAAATTGAAGTTTTTATTTAGTTTTTTGTTTTTCTTTTTTTCGTAATTATTATTGCTTTAAAATTTAATTGTAGAAAAAAGGGGCAGATATTATAAGATGTTTTTTCTTCTTTCTGCCTCCTTTCATTTCAATTTGATTTGTATATATTGTTTTTTATTGTGATATGTTGGCTGAATTTAGTAAAAATGTGAAGTCAGTAGAAAAATGTTTATTAAATCAGCTGAAGAAGTAGCTTAAACGGCAGAAAAATACTTGAGTTAACTTAAAGAAAAGAAAGGAGCACAAAAAAGTTGAAGTTAGCAGAAGAATATCAGAAAGGCAGCTGAAATAACACAAACAATCTTAAATTAGCACAAAGAAGAACCAGAGCAAAAAGTCAAAAGTTCAGTAAATATTTATAAATGAAGAGTTTTATGAATGCTGAGGCAAAGGTGGCCAAAAGAGCTAAAGAGCTGAAAAAATGTAAGTTGCTGAAATACCAAAAGTCAGAGCACGCATGGTATAAAAGAGCCGAACGTTTAGATTTATGAAATGTTGAATCAACATGAATTATGTGCTGAAAAACGTACAGATAAATAAATCATCTTAAGATGATCCTTCAACCCTGCAGTTTCTCTGGTTATCATTTCTGTTTGTTTACGAGGGTCTTCATTAGACCGGATCAGGTGGTCCGAGCTGCAGAACCTGCCTCTCTGAGACGTGGTCTCTTTTTTTTTTCCTCATCTTCCCATGTGTGGTTTTTAGTTTTTCTGTTGTTAAAGGTAGCGCAACTGTGTTTCCTGCTTGACCGGTTTCACCTGTTCCCCCATGTTTGTCCTGTATGTCTTCTTGAATGGGTGTTTCTTAAATGCCCCCTCCCCCCTTCCCTAAATATACAGCACCTTGTGAATTTATTTCTGTGAAAGGCGCTGTATAAATAAAACTTTACTTTACTTTACTTTACTTTACTTTACTTTACTTTACTGTCGTGTGTCTCTTTGCAGCCGTGGCAGTCAGAGGAGGAGGGCTCCTGGCTCAGGGAGTACCCGGTCACCCTCATGCAGTTCTTCAGGTACCTGTACCACAACGTGCCCGACCTGGGGCCCATGTGGCACAGCCCGGAGTTCCTCTGCGCTCTGGCAGCCTCCGTCTTCCCCTTCAACATCAGGCCGTACTCAGAGATGGTGAGTCAGTTCAGGCTGCAGGAATAAATCCCTTCGTCCTCTTTTACAGATGTTTGTTTTCCCCTGGCAGCAGAAAAACTGCAGCTGTCCTTTCACAATAAAAGCTGCTTTTATCCCTTCGTCCCCTTCAGGTGAGCGATCTGGACGACGAAGCGGGTTCTCCCACTGAGGAGTTCAAGGCGTTCGCTGGAGATTCCGGAATGAACCGGAGCCAGTCTGAGTACTGCAACGTGGGCTCCAAGACGTCGCTGACCAACCACCCGGCCAAGAAGTACGTCTTCGACTTCATGAGGGTCCTGATCATGGACAACATGTGCATGACTCCGGCCAGCAAGCAGACGCCCATCGTCGACATGCTGCTGGAGGTACGGAGGTGCGACTGGTCCAGGTCCTAGCTGTGGTGACTCCTGGCTGCATCATGTTGCTTTATGTTGCAGGCCTCTCCGGAGCGCTCCACCAGGACTCAGCAGAAGGAGTTTCAGTCCAGCATCCTGGACAGCGTCATGGAGCACCTTCTGGCTGCCGACGTCCTTCTAGGTCAGAACAAAACCCAGAACACGTCAGTCAGTTCTGTTCCAGCTGTGACACAACAAAACATCAAATAAAACCCGGAACGTTCCGGTTAGCTTCACGGTTTTAGAATCTCTAAACTCAGTTTACAGAAGCTGTCATCTCAGTTTTTCTTTTTATAAACATTTTGTTGTCATCAGAGTTCAGTTCCTGTACTGTTTGAATTTATTTTTGTTTTTCTTCATCTTAAGCTTCAAACTATGTCAAACTAGTTAGCTAGTGTTTCTTATCAGCCTGGTTAGCTAGTTAGAAAGTAAAACGTGTTTATTACCTCCGCCAACGGTGAGGAGGTAATGTTTTTGGTCGCGTATGTCGTTCTGTCTGTGGACAACATTAATCAAAAACTTGTGGACGGATTGTTATGACATTTTTACCACATGTGGGTACTGGGTCAAGTAACACACCATTACATTTTGGTGATGTTCCAGATCACGATGCGGATACAGGAATTTTTTTTCTGTTAATCCTCTCAGGTCGGCAAAGATGTGATGCTTTCACAGGGCTTCTGTAAAAAAACTGTGAGAGCTTTCAGTGTTCATTTGAACTGGATTACACAGCACGGACTTCAAAATTTATAAAAGTAATGTTAAAAGCAGATGTAACGATGAGTAAGTCTTGCCATAATGTGCGCATTTTTGCGCATTTGGTGCGCATTTAGAGAATGTCCTCTGACCAGGAAGTGCGTGACTGCACCATGAAACCCATTTTTCCCATTTCCTCAAACACACCACATTGTCGTAGGCTTGTAAACAGATCGATGAAGAACGAGGAAGAGGAGTGATGCGCACAGGTGTAGTGGACTTCAGACTCAGAGGTTGTTTGTTCATTGTTATTATTTAAATGAGACCAGGGGCGAGGTCATGGTTTCGGTCGCACTGACCCACTCCTTTCATGAGCCGACTGTACCAGGAAGTGAAGAGAGTCAAACCATTACAAACTCATACAAGGAGATAAAACAGACGTTTTACATGGTGAAATGTGACTGATGAAAACTTAGGAGCTTAATCCCACACCAGTTTGACCATGAATAACGTCAGGTGACCAGTCTGACTTTTGTTTTTTCCACATTGGACTCCACAGAGAAGAAACCCCGTGCATACTGCTGCTTAAATGTTCACTACGTCAGAACTTATTCAGCAAATGTGTTTCCATCTTTGCTTTTGTGCATTAACTCTTACAGGACGGAGGAAATTGGCCTTGGTGGAGGTTTGCACTCTCCCAGTGCTTCTAGTTCATCCTTTCATCAGGTCATTTAAGGTGGAGCTCGATAAAGTTATTTTTTAAAGAAATTAGTTTAACTAGCCATATTAATAAAAGGTGATCTGCAGTTAGTTAGCTAAAAAAAAATCAAAAGCAGTTAGCTAGCATTTGTTTATTTACAGGCAGCTGCCTGGTAATAAAGTAATGTAACTAGCTCCACTTTAAATGATGACTTCAGCTAGTAATAAAGTATATTTATTATTTCTTCTCACTGTCATAAAAAATAATAATATTTATATTTACCAGTCAACAGTTAGAAAATGTTCTCTGGTTATAGGATGAAACTTGTCTCTATTAGCTAACATCTTCTTAACAGGTGAGGTTCCTCTAACAGCAACCTAAAAATACATTTATAATATTATTTTACACTCTGTAGGTCT